AATCGCCGCAATCAATTATAAGATGCTAATCGCGCGCCGCTCTAACGAACTGCACCGTCGACCTGCCCCTTGCCGCGACTTTTTTTGCCCGCCTCTCGTCCGACCTTGATAATACGCGTGCTTTATAATCTCGGAATTATCGTTCATATTAATAATGACAGTTATATGAGCGCGCGTGTGTATACGTGCGAATTATAAAAGAACGTCGGCGACGCGTTATTTTAATGCGTGGATGCGCGTGCAGTGGAATCGATTGGCGCAAAAGTGGGACAGCAGAGCGGTGCACGCTTGCATTTACGTCATCGACAGCGTCCAATTAATTTTGTCGATTTAAAGAACGGAATAAATTAATCGAGAACACCCCGGCAACAAGTGCTCGCGTGCGTTTTTCATTGTTCGTTCAGAAGTGGGCGAAGACGCGCGCGCTGATTAATACAATTCCACCATCGATACTCCCTCGTCACCCACTTGGCGCGGCAACGACTTAACATTCATAATTTTAATAACCGATATCTTCCAATTTATCATTTTCTCGAACGAACCGGTGTTTTCATAAATAGCACCCAGAAAAGATAATCTCATCCTGAACGTAATTTTCTTGTATGCATTGGCACCAAGAGAATTCTTCTGAAATTAAAGGAAAACTATTTTTACATCCAAAAAAAAAACTCCTAATTGCAAAATACCGTTTCCTATAATCTCGTATTCTGTGAGTGAAAACTTTTATCGAAAAATTATTCTTATTTTGATAAAGTGATTAATCGAAAATCTACTGAATGTTGTTGTAACATTTTTCCCTTTTGAATAAAAAATAATCTACTTATTTGAACGGCAGAACGATGCAAGAGACAAGATGTAAGATTTGCGACAAAGAACAAAATTCCTCCAACTTTAAGGACATTTTCCTTTAGGCTTTGGAAAAATTCTCTTGAAGTCGTATGTAAGTGGATTTTGCTAAAGATGAGATTATATTTTTTTTTGGCTGAACCAGAGTTTCTATGCGCAGGGATTTATGCGAAGTGCGATTTGAACAATTTTCGCGAGTTTATTCGCAATACACATATACATACGGCTCGTTTTGACTTTCCCCTTATCTGGAGCGAATGGGTGGTCTCGGATATTTAAGAAACGTCCGCGCGAGTATCCGGCAGACGGGTCCGGAGCGCAGCATCCGCGCAAGGCGCGAAGCTCCGACGCACGCACAGACGGAGAAGCGCTCATTTGCGCGCGCATCGCGTATCTCGCGCATACATCACGCGTTCGTCGGTGCAGTATGCATCGCGCGTCACGGTGCAGTGCCGCTCGAGTGGAAGCCAGCGAGGTGCGGAGGGAAGAAGAGAGAGAGAGAGAGAGAGAGGGAGGAAGGAGCACGACGACGACGACGACGAAGGAACGAACGAGAGAGTAAAAGGGGGCCCAAAGTGGGGGCACCCTTCGTCGCCGGGCGTTGCTTCCGACTGCGTCGTCCCTGTCGGCTTATAAATAACACCATCTCCCCCGTTTCTTCGTGCGTTTCTCAGTTTTTCTTGTGCCCTCTGCTTCTTCCTCCATCAGGGCCTCCTCTGGACCGGGAAGAGGGGTGGGAGGTACCTCCCCTGCTCGAGATACTCGACCGCTCGCAAGCCTAATTAATAACACGTGATGAGCGATCGTGGCAAAACCTTCCGAGCCGAAAGATCTCGCGAGCTGAGAAAGTGAGAGAGAGAGAGAGAGAGAGAGAGAGAGAGAGAGAGAGAGAGAGAGAGAGAGAGAGAGGGGGGGAGAGAG